GTTGTCACTGTATTGTTGTTTGTATTATATACTCATCTCATGCCACAGAGTTACTTTCCACTGTAGAGTTGTGTTATCTGCAGTCAGGTAAGATACTGACTGCAGAAAGGTATGTCAAATCATCTGCTTTAAAAAAACTAATTTAACAAGAACTTCTTTCCTTTAGCTAACTTGACTTGAACTGAACCAACAAAGATGAGTTCTTTGTAACAGAGTCTATAGATAAAAGCACTAAACTGAAACTAAATCTATGACGTGCTGACACCATTGTTATGATATAACAAACAATAGAAAAAAAGCTACAAAGAAAGCAGACCAGTTCTTGATTTAAACCCCTAAATCAATCTATTCTATAAATTAGAGTCAGGGGTCAGGTGGATCGCATTTTCTCGGAATCATCATCTCGGAACAGTTGTCAGCAGGACATCAAACAAGTTGTTAATGTCTTTTAGATTACAAAATTATTTCAAAACTGAGCATTTCCAGTGTAAAATATCCTTTAAAACATTCAGACCTAAAATACCATAAAAAGAACAAATGTGTCAAATGGAACATGGGCATTCCGGTGGTTGTTAACAGGTGAAATTATCATTTGTTTGTGATTTATCAATTTTAAAAAACTGAACATGGACCTTCTGTTGTCAACGGTTCTGTCATAGTTAATATAAAATGCTCACTAGAAGATACTGTAGCTCCATGGGTAATACTGTTTTTAAAGTACTATTTCAAGTGAAAATGTATGTTCTTTTTACTAAATAATTGATCATTAAAAAATGTTTTAGGTAAACTAGACTGGTCTTCCAGTCAGCAGCATCTTATTATCATGTTCCTGTTCACGGGCTGTCGTGTCAGGAGGAGTCTGAGCCTGACTCTTCAACATCTGTGGAGTCGTACTCATCAGCGGACTCGGTTAGAGCGGGGTAGGGCCGCGGTTGGTCCAGGTTAACGTAGGTGACATTCAGACTGATGTAATGCTCTCCCTCCAGGCTCGACAGGATGGTGGAGACCTCTGTCACCAGCGTGGCAAAGGTGGGCCTGAGCTCTGGATCAGGGTCCCAGCACTGTAGCATGATGCGATACCTGGGAAAACCCCAACAGAGAAACAGTAGGCGAGGTTATTTTTACTTATTTACAGACAAAACACACTACAACAGCCACATCTAAATATAACTTCATCAAATCCTGAACAATCCAGTTTGAACAAGGTAGAACTCAATGCCAAAGCATCAACTGATTTACCTCCACCTTCCCTAGAGTCGTCTGCATTGAAAGCACTCAGCAATTACCTTTTTACCTCTTTTTTCAGGCTTAAATGTTGTAAGAAGTATGTAACTATATAAACAATGTCTAAACATGACTCCCTCTTTGATATTTACCACATCATTTAACTAGATGTTTTATTTGTACTGTCGAGGAA